GAGAGAGAGAGAGAGAGAGAGAGAGAGAGAGAGAGAGAGAGAGAGAGGGAGAAGGAGACTCCATATTCGCGATCGTTCGCTTTTATTTGGTTATTCAATTTCGGAATTCTCATCATTTGTTTTTTTTTCTTCTTTTCATCATCATCAGCAATTCATCATTTTGTGTGGTTTTGCTCGATGGGATTTGATCAGTACTAATCAATATGTTGGCAAGTCGAAAGAAAAGAGAATAAACGTGAGTTTTCACAGCAGCGCATAGTTGAGTTAAATACGAAAATTTAAATGGAGTTTAGCATTTTATGGTAATAGCTGCTATTGATATAGATATCGCTTATCAGATAGTGACTAGACCGGCACAGAGTGTGAGCGAGCACTTAAAGCAACGAATTACATTTGCAATTGCAATCGCACCGAAGCCACAACAACAATGCCAGAGATCAATTAAGAACAGGTGTAAATGTAGTGTGCTTGAAAAAAAAATAGCACCAATTGATTTATTGTTTGCGCTTTTATTTATTCGCTTCCCTTTGTCTTTCTCATCATCGATTTTAATGCATTTGCACAAGCGGCAGCGGCGGTGGCAGCAGCAAAAAAAATGAGCACTTTGCTGGTAAATTGTGAATTCGTAACGATAACAAACATATAAATCGAGGCACAGTAATAAGCAAATATTATTTATTATGTAGGCGCGATTAGATTCTCTTTTTCCGTTGCCGTTACACTGTAGTTGTCGTTGTTGATGAAGCATTCGGCACGTACATTCCGCGTGCACACAATGAACCATCAATATCAATTTGTAAATAACAACTGAAAAAAAAACCACGATCACAATTTCAATCGCTATTGATCTGAGTCAATAGTCATAAATCCAGTGAATAATATTCCAGTACGGATCTCTTTGCTCCATTCCAAATGTGAGCGCAATGTTGTAATGCACACAACGATTGTAATCGGCCATAAAATGTTAAGTGGCATTTTGTGTGCCAGGCCAACTTGTTAGCTCATCAACAGTTTTGCACCATGCTTGTGACTCGCTGGATCTGCCTTCTTTTCAATTCTAGTGTATTTGGCTGGAAAAAGTAAAATATGGATAGTTTTGAAACTATGAAGCCTTGAGCATTGGAAAGGAAATTCACATGAGAGAAAATTGTCTTCTTCTTCTGCATCGAATTTATGTTTCCATGCATTTATCACGTTTCACTTCCTCTGCATCACATAAATCTCGTCTCGACTGTTGTCGACTTATTTATTTTCTGTCGATTTTTTTCTGCGACTCGATTCATCAAGTTAATCATCAAATCCCCCGAACTGTTCAATGTGTAATAATTTGTATTGAACACCCGATCAAATTCAATTTTCAAATTGATGAATTTTGTTTTTAGCACGAACTTTAAATTGATGAATTTGATTATATGCAATGTGTAACTTTGAGTCACATGAAGAAATTGCTGGATGTGTTCACGCGCTTTGGATTTGACTAGCTGTGAGTAATCGTGCATTTAAATGTTTGTACACTTGGTGACAGGTAATAATATGGGTTTATCAAGCGATACTGAATCATTCCGTGAACGAAAAACTAGTTTTCTCGCTCGCTCTCCGGTGGAGAGTCTCCGCATTGTTTTGTTTTGAAACAAAAGACGGAATGCAAAAGAGAGAGACCTGAGACGCGCCAACGGTGAAAAAAAAGCGACAACAACTTTGACGACGACAGAATTTTGCCACTTTGAATGGATTGTGTTTTTGTTGTGCGGTGTGTGCGCGGTGCAAACACGACTGACACGTTGCATACAGCTGGCGATAATAATCGGTGGACTGAACGAGGCGGTGATGTGAGAGCGAGTGGATTTGTGTGCAAAGGTATTAAAAAAGAGTTGAATGGCCCATTGAATGAATTCAAATAAGCCAGCGATTAACATGAATATTTTATTAGGCATTTTCAGTTGAAAGCTGCCCAAAAAACATTCGACGCTCGCAACAATGTGTCACTTACACACACACACAAACAAGATGTGTCAAAATTGCTTGTGGGTAATTTGTCGTTTGGAGCAAATTGGTTTTCGGGGAAATTGTATTTTCATATTTTTCAGTCAAACGTGGAAATATGCACGGGCTTCGAAAATAATCGGGCCGATTAAGCATCAAACACCGATAGCCACCGTGAGTGAGTGTGTGTGTGTGTGTGTTTGTGTATCTGTGTGAAAGAGCAACAAAGTTACAATCGCGTTAATGCACATTGCAATTCTTGCCACATAATTACAGATTAGCTGACTGTAGTGACCGTTTAATCAAATAAATAGCAACGTATCAATTAAATTCGCGCGCCTTACGTTCTGTGTATGTGTGTGTATCTGTGCCGATTTTCAGTTGGCCAGCGAACTTGGACTGATTGACACAAAGGCAACATCCGTTTTGTCTGCGGTACGGGCGCACCGCGTGAAAAACCAGCAACACCGATTTAAGCGCACAAATTGTGGTCGACAACAGCAACGTACGACGACGACGACGACGACGATGGTGATGATGATGATGATGATGATGACGATCGAAAACCGATCACCACGACACTGTGGTCGACGACGGTGTAGTCAATATATAATTGATTGAATTGCAAACCAAGTGGCAATTATTTCAAATTGAAATGACGATTGAAATGCAAAACGAAAATATGCTCGAAATGATGATCGATTGAAATTAAGTCAATGCGATAAAAGTTTATAGGATAAAAATGACAACACGTAAATGATAGACGGAGCGAAGCGAAGCAACAACGGTAAATGTTATTTGCATTAAAAGATTGATTTCCTCCTGTGCCGGAGTGGAATCGAGAGAGAGAGCCGGCCACGGAACGGTTGATTTGAATACATTATATTTCTGGTGTAAATGTAATTGATATGCTTGGAGTTGGATGGGATCGTTTAGCATTAACTAGCCGTTAAGACGGGGCTTTCTGTCTCTCGGTCTCATGTTTGCAATGTGTAAACAGAAGAGGAAATAAGCTGAGCTGTGTAGTGCAGGCAACAGACGCGATGATGAACAACAACAACAACAACAAATTTAAAACACACAAAGAGAGACGGAGATAGAGAGATAGAGACGGGCACTTAAACGACAAATCTATCGAAATGTGCGATTCCAATCGCTGATTTCATGAGCATTGCTGCATTTTGCGGTTGCGTTTCTGCTGCTGTCGATGCTGCGCCACCAATTCAATAATCGCTTTTAATTACAATGTTTTGAATGAGCATTGCTGCCAGTTTACTCTTTCACGTTGAACATTTTGTCACATCTAAATGGCCGCGTTCATGTCACCAAGTTAATTTCGACCGAGAAGCTGGTTTTTTTTGTCTCTTTCTAAAACATCTAGCATAATCAATTTGACCGCAGAGATTACTGCAATCGGAAAATATCTCGATGGCGAAAAATAATTGTGTGTCTGCAAAGGAATATGGTTGTGCGTGTTGGATGGGAGGTGATTTGGAAATGTTCGAACTGGTTTCCAGGCCAATTTTAAAGACACATTGATAATACACAGATAGAAAGAGAGCGTGAAAAACCGGAAAGATAACAACACCACATCGAGCAAATCGAGAGACGTAATTCACTAAATCGCCTGTTAAATTGACATGAAGAAAGACATTTATGTGCTTAGTTAGGTGCTTAACTGACAAACGACATAAACTGTTTGGATCAAATAAATGCTCGGATTTTTTCTTTCTTTTCTTCGCTTCGTTCGGTGAGGGGGTGGTTTTTTTTCTTCCGTCGAAGAAGAAACATGATATATTTGTCGTCGCTGGCGTGCGCTAACACACTCACTTTACAACCCTATTTTTTACTTTAAAGAAAAATTGCACTTGCTGCTCTTTTTTGTACTTAGTTCCCCCAATTTTTTCGTTGCTCGCCTCTCTTCGCAAAAACACTCCCTCTCACTCCAACAACACTCGGCGAACAAAGTTTTGATTTTTTTTTCTCTTGTTTTACATTTCAGTTATTTTGAGTCTCACACTTAATTTACCATTATCCAAAGCACCTTTCGAATCTAATTCGGGATTAAAAAGAATACATGGTTTCTTGGGTTTGTTTTTGTTTTGTTTAAATATTACCTTAATTTTCCTTCTTTTACAAATGCAATACGATTTATTCGTGTATTTTTTTTTGTTCTTGCTCTTTTGCATGAAATTAAACGCGTACTTTTTGTATTTGTATCTTGTTTAAAATTAGCGACACCTCGGTTGTGGTTTACACACTTTTATGCAAAGACCGAAGACATTACAGTTTTTTTCTTCTCTGACATATGAAACGCGTTTTCATTTTACGCGCCACATACGTTCGACTTCAAATTTCAGTACATTTCTTTTCTATCACTATGTAAAATTGCTTTCATTGGTCTCATTTTTTTTACTCGGAATTCGTGAGATTTTGAGAATTAAAATTGGAAACGAAATTTAAAACCCAAATTCAAACTGAATTCCACATCATGTGATTTCACTTTTTTTCCTCAAATAATAAATGATACAATAAAAAAACCGATAACGCGCGCGTTGACAACTAAAAATGACGCAAATAGATCAGACTTAACACAAAAATTAAATTCACACAACTTAAAAAAATCAAACAAGGAAGAGCAGTGAATAGAAAAATGTTGCAAATGAAGTTTGAAGGTAGATTTGGTTTTTTTTGTGTTGTTTCGTTTGTTTTGTTTCGTTTCAAACACGTACCTGGCCGTTGTGCAATCCCGATAGAGAATGTCAAAATCTTTGCAGGACAACAGCTTACAACGATTCACACCCGGTTGGATAGCACCCAATCCGCGAAGGATACGCACTTGTTCCACATTACAAACCAACGGAACAATATCTAATCTCTTTAGTTTTGTATAAACTGTGTGTAATCCACCAACGAGATGCTTTAGGAATAGCTCGAATGCTTGCGGCAAACACAACATTGTGTCGCCGGCTATGATGAATGCGGCCACTTTATGGCCACGATAATCGACCAATTTGCATTCATTTGCCGTGGGATCGGATGTCGAGATTGGCGGCGGACTGTTGTATGACCGTGGTGGCATCTGATGATGGGCAGCTGCCATCAATTCCAATGGGTTTGCATGATCTGCACGAAAAAGAGAGAAAAAAAAACAACAACAATTGAAGCAGTTTGTAAGACACTAACTATTTAGAACAGAGTTTGCCACCATTAAGAAGGAATTGAAAACTTGATTTTTTTTCTTTTCGAAATTGAGAATCAAGGTAACTTTGAAAAACTAAGAATTTTTCATTCTAACTAACTGCTTCTACTGAGACCTAATCTTTTTATTCTGAAAGTCACTCTCGCGCTATTTTTTAAAAATCAGTCGACCATTTCATCCGAAAAAAACATTTATTTTCTCTTTTTTAGATAATTTTATCATAAAAAGTTTTTTTTGTTGCTCGATTTTGATGGTTTTTGAACTTTGAAATTTATTTTCACTCGAATCCTGATTTGAATTTCATCAATTCCGATTTTTTTTTTTGAAATCCTTTTTTTTTCTTCATAAAATTAGGAAAAATGCAATAAATCTTACGCATCATTTGTAGTGAGTTGAGTAGACCCAAGCTGTGTGGAGCCAAGTGCGGTAGACTTTGTGCCATTCGTGGGCCCATCGCGGCCGCAATGCTATTCGGTGTGGATGTTTGTGGTGGGCTCATTGGATGACCCAATGACATCATATGCGGGCTACCCTGATGATGTCGCAACGGTGGGCTAACCGGAGACGGGCTCCGATTATGATTGTGATTGTGATGATGATTTGACGTTGTGGTGTTACTGTTATTTGATACACTCATATTATGATTATTGTTGCTGTTATTATTGTTGTTCGGACTGACGGCCGATTTGGAATTGTATTGAGGCGATGGTGGTGCTGAGGCTACGCTATGATCACTAGCTGTCGATAGCGAGTCCATTGCTGAATCCATACTCATCGGTGTTGTTCGATTTTTTGTCGAAAAAACACTAGATCCGTTTGTTTCACTCAGATATTTGCTAACCAATGGCAGCGGATACAAATCAGCTAAGCTCGCCAGTTTCTCACTTTTAATCACGCGCGTCACAAATTTGTTTTTCTAACTTTGTTCGATCAATTCAAAATTGTTTTTTATTAGTTCAAGTTCACTGTTGTTGTTCTTTCTTCTTCAGTTCAATTTTTCGAAAGTTCAAATGTTCACACAAAAATCCGAAGAAGGGAAAAATATTGTCGCTAATACAAATTGGAAGAACGTGTGCGCCGAAAGAGAGCAAGCACGACAATCAAATCCGGATTCGGTTTAAATACTGACTCAAATAAATCCGAAGTCGAAATCGAAATGTTATTGGTGGCAGTTGCTAGCGTTGATATATGGAAATGTGCGAATTTTCCATTTCTTGTACATACATATGTATATGCAAATATATGTATGGCTGGTGCCGAATTTTTCGGATTGGCGCTCAGGGGCAGACGATGAAGAGAGCAAGTGTGCGAACCGAAAATGAAATGGTATTGCGCTTTTGCAATATTACGAGTGGTTGGTATGATAGTTATGTGTGGATCTCTTTCTCACTGGATGGCTCTCTGTTCGCTGGCTCTATGTGTATATTTAATTCATTTTTGTGCACAAACATACATATCGAATTGGAGTTTGCGAGAGAATGAATGTGGTTAGATTTCCGAAAGAGACAGCGCGAGAGCAATTCAAGCAAAAGTGGAAAACTCTTTTTCCCAATCGCTGGTCTAGTTAGTTCCAATACGTGTGTTCTGTATGTGCTTCTGTTTTTGGATGAAAATTGCTCGTTTTCTCCGTCTCTGTCTCTCTCTTGCTCGTCGGAACGAATGAATGTGCGCGTATGTATGGCAAATATCGAATTGATCTGTCTATGTGCAAAATTGCAAGGAGTAGCCGGCGGCGGCGGTGGTGGCGGTGCTACACATAGAATATAATAACTTGAACTCGCCTTATCTCTTTCTCGAAGCGCACTCGAAAATACCGAAAATTATTCGTCACTCGTTAAAGCTTCGTATAATTCGTTTCACAATGTGCCGATTCGGGGTCGTTTCACGTGTGTGGATGATATACTCGGTTACAGTTATTCGCACTTCTTTCATAAAACACACCCAGCATCGAAATAAAAAAAACAACAACGAACGTTTGTCCGATCTCACAGTTTTTATCACTCCGACTGAAGTCGTTAGTTGTCATCAATTTTCACAACAAAGTTTTCTTTTACTTTTTTGTCCAATTTTTATCACAAAACTGTAAAATGCTTTTTTCTGTTTTTCTGTGTGGTAACGAAAATGTGTGTTGACATTTAATTCAAACTTTTCCAACAATTTTCTTTTATTTAATTTTTTCTTCTTCACGATTTTATCTCCAGTTTTTTTTTTCACCGTGCTTTTATTCAAGCGAAATTCTCTTTGCCGTGTAACAAAAAATAAATTACAAACAGATAGTTTTTCTCGAATTTTTCTGTGAAAAAGTTTTTTGCCGAACCAAGCCGAAAAAAATCACTTTGAATTTTGGCAAACACTTTTTGTATCGCCCGTTTTCGATCAGGAAAATATGTGCTGATGCTGAGCAGAACGATGCATACCGCACAAATCACACAATTGAAATGGAGACAAATCACAGACGAATCGAAAAAAAGACGTAATCAAATCGAGCGACCGAGTACGAATGTGAAATGTGGGCAATAAAAATCCAAATGCTACCTACAACTTACAAAACGACAACACACAATCACACACAAAAGCAATTGAGAGTTTCTCGAGTGAGAGAGCATAGCTCGAGCCTTCGGCGCGAAGCAAGTAAGCAGCAGTCGAGTAGCAGCGGCAGCGGCAGCAGAGCAGCAGGCAAGCAGTTAGCCAGCTTTTCTTCACTCTCTATATGTAAAACTGTACGGTGTGGGTATGAATGTGTATTCGAATGACGCGCCACACACTCACAATCCAACAACACACCAAATATACAAATTCGTTCTCTCTATCCGAATGCGAAGCACAGCGGCACGACAACGACGACAACGACAACGACAACGAGCTACTCTACGTACGGGAGCATGTACAACAGTACACACAGAACAAAAAAAGAAATGAAACGAAACGAAAACCCAAACTGAACCGAGAAATGAATGCAAAAGAAAAATAAAATAAAATAAAAGAAATAACATTATGAGCATGGGCATGAGTGAGTGAGAACGGAATAGAATACGGCAAAAACAGCAAAAGCAGCAGCAACAACAAAACGCTGGTATATTATGTGCACGGTGTGTGCAGCACTGTTCCCGTCTCTTTCTCTATTGAATTTTGCTTCGCGCACAAATACACAACCGAATTATACATACGCATACACAGTCATACATTTGAATTCTTATCCAACCCGACAACCAGAAAAGGAACACCGAAAAAAAAGAAATAATAATATAAGCGGTACGCAAAGAGAGCGAACGAAGAGTCGAATAAAAAGGCGAATAAAAAAATATATATGTATATATATAAAAAAGAAAAAAGGCGAACGAAGAAACAGTTTCGAGCAGCAAACGAAAGAAGAAAAAAGTTCGAATTGAAACGCGCATATACCAAAAAGGCGCCGTGAATACAAATGTATCAATTCACATAGAGTGCAGGAGCGCGCACCGAGCCACGGTTCGTATGTGCAAAGGCACCAGTGATAGAGGCAGGAAAAAGAGAGAAAGAGAGTGAACGCGCGAGAAAACGGAAAGGAAAAAACGAATTGACGATTGAAATCGTCAAAACGAATCACACACAACAAATACGCGCGCACATAACATTTGCACACGCCAGCAGCAGCAGCAGCATCGGCAGCGGCGGAGGCAACAGCGACACATAGAGAGCATTCACACAAAAATTTTCATGAAAAATATCAATCCATACGTGAGAAAGCAGCAATGAACGTGGCCTGGCACTGTGGCACAGCCAAAACACAGTCAGAGAGAGAACATAAAATACGAGAAAAACACACTACCGGAGGTGGGAACTAAAATACGATACGATTGTGTGTGCTCTCTGTCTCTCTGTGTGTGCGAGTTGTGTCGATGCTTTTTTCTCTCTTCTCTCATTTTCGTTATTCGCTTCTTCTTCTTTTTTTCGTTTTTATTTTCGTTCCTCTTTTCCACTCTGCTTCGTGTACTACCGCTCTGCTCTGCTTCGTGTTCCTCCGTTTCTTCTGCATTTCTATTTCTTCAACTCTCCGTTTGTTCATTTCAACTGTACGAATGGTATTTACGTTTCGTTTCCACACACACACACACACACACACACACGCTCACACACATACAGTGAGCGCGCACTTGGGCCGATGGCACACTCGTACGTATGGCCCCTTGATATATATACATACATAAATATGCATACGTATACATACCGAATTCGTATTTCGGATGTGTCATGCGCTATCGTCACATTAAACGATTGGTTAGCAAACATCAGATAGCAATCGAATACGATTGGCGGACCGAATGCGACACTGTGCATGTGTGTGTATTTGCCTCTTATTCCGAAGATTATCCGCCTATATTGTGCATCTCGCTCACATTTTCCATCTCTATTTTTTTGTTCTGCTGCTGCTAGTGTTGTTGTTTGTATGTCGGTCGGACAGACGGAGTTTGAACGGGTGCTCGTTGTTCGTTTGTTGCTTTTAGATGCTGCTGTTGCTGTGCTTCTGCCGTACGTTCGTTCGTTCGTTCGTTCGGTTGTTTGTCAGTCGATTTGGGTTTTCTTCGAGTTTGTTTGAATGCAGTATTTGTGTTTGTTCGGATTCTTCATTCCATTCCAGCGTGTGATACATAAGCCATCGCTTGTTCGTTCTAATATTGTACAGGGAGATGAAAGCTTCTCTCGGCTGCTAGCTATATCATTTTTTCGTCGTCGTTGTCGTCGTTGCTGCCGCAGTCGCTTTTGCTTCTGCTTTGGCTGCACAAATAACAATTTTCATTTCAATTTCTTTTCCTTTTTTCCTTTCTCTCTCTCTCCTCTCCCTGCAATACATAACCGTTTCGTTTTGCTTCTGCTCGTTCGCCAGATCACTAGAGACAGATTTCAGGCGCGTCTTGGCACAAAAACAACAACCGAAATATTTAAAAAAAAAACGAAACAGAAACACACATACACACATTTATACTGCATACATTTTTGCAAAAATGCCTGAGCTCCCTCGCTCTCTGCCTTTTATTTATATATTTCCATATGTGTGAGAATGAGCGTCAAACTACTTTGTGCTTTGTGTGTGCCTTCATATTCATTTGCACGATAGCGATTTGCCATTTTCCATCTCTTGTGTATCGTTTCGTTGCCTCATTCCTTTCACATCCTTTCTCTGTGCTGCGACTGTGAGCGAGAGGGAGAGAGAGAGAATTCATTTCTTTAATTTTTTGCGCGCACATTTTATTCCCGTATTTATATTTAAATTTTCATTCATGTGCCCGGGACACACTGAGAGAGAGAGAGAGAGAGAGAGAGAGAGAGAGAGAGAGAGCGAGGATTGTGTGTAGGTTTCTTGATTATATTTTCATTTTTTGTCGTTTCGAAATCCTCCTTTTTTCCAACGTCACAACACTTTTTCTACATGCAGTCTTTATTTGTATTCACAATTTTTTCTGAATGACATTTCTTTCGCTCAATTCAATTTTTTCTTTGCTCTTCCATTCTTATTTCATTCGTTTCGTCAATTATTGTGCCGTGCGCACAAGAAACTTAGCGAAAATTATATGTTACAATTTTTTTTACTTTCATTCGCAATACATTCATTTTAATTTCGTCCTTTTTCATTCAAGTTGTTCGCTTTTTTTCTGTTTGAATGGGCTTGTTTTTTCCCGTGCCATTCGAACTTGGGCAAAAGTGTCATTTAAGGCGTTACTATGATGGCAAGAAAAATGGTGAAGTTTCGATTTAACAAAGTCCCATTTTGTCACCGAATTGCCCTCTCAATCAGAAGTTTTGATTCAGAACCAGATCTATCGTCTCTCTACCTCGATTTTCGTTCAAAGTATTAGTTTCTCTCTCCTTGTTGGCATGGGCATTAATTCAAAAACTAGTTCCACTTCATTCGGATAATATATTGCATGCATCCCATGTCTTGAAGCGATTTTCAACGCTTTCGAGACCATTTGCAGGCATTTCGACGTTCAATCGATTGACGTTGTCCATTTTATACACTTTCCTACGCCAAATAACTATACATTGACTAGCACGTGCGCGCGCCATACACATTCATTCCGATGCATAGGCGATGGAGAGCATTGGATTTTGTAGAAAGTCCCTTTGACGTGTACATTTTCGATGATGGAAACAAAAACGCTTTTGTTTTGTCCGTGCAATGACATCAAACGAATCGGAAAGTAGACAGAGTTTATGCCTGAGACTGTGAAACGAAAACTAAAAAACGCAATGGGAAACCTTGCTGAAAGAGACATTCCATCATCGCAAAAAAAAAAACTTCGTTTAAAAACTCATTCAACATTGAAGAAATTGAGTGATTGAAATGGGCATGAAAAAAAAATCGTTTTCGAATCGAAGCAATTTTTCTTAATTTCACAGCGTTTGCTCCATTTGGTCGCATTGTAATCTCTTGTTCTTGGTCATTGCTTTTTTTTGTCGGCCAAATTTTGTGTCTGTTCATCGCGTTCGGCTGCATTCATTATTTTTCAATAGTTTACAATACACCTTGGAATTGGGAGGAGGTTGCAATTTGTATTTATAACTTGTGATATGCATAATTTCATATGAATACAACCATTTTTTTTCGTCGCTTCTCTTCTCTTGTGTTTTCTCTCGCGTCTGCATTTCTTTCATTCTTTCATAATTCTCGTTCGTCTTCCTCGGCTGCTCTGTGTTGTTTCATATAAACTTTTTTTTTCTCTTTCCATATTTCATATAAATTGTTTTTTACGAAAATAATACACAAGCGTTTGGAGAACGGGCCCGCAGAGTGAAAAACAAAACCGAACAAAGTAAGGTACATGCGAATGGTGTTTCGTTTAAAGCGACATCACTGTGAAAAGCTTCCAGAAATTGAATGAGTCTATTGGCTAAAAGGAAATGTGTGTGTACGAACGTTGAAGCGAGTTTTGTCTCGGCTGCCGCTGCTGTGCCACACTAATTTATGTATTTGTTGAACAAACACATATTTATGCAGATCTTTTTTTGATACCCAGCTATCTGTTTGGCATGTGTATCGGCAAACAACAGCGACGACGACGAAAACCCGAAACATTATAAACCACACCAAACCCGGTGCTCATACAGACCATTTTCAAATTTATTCCTATCTCTTTCGCATTGTGATTATGCTTCGTTTCTTTTTTTTGCCTCCAAAACTATCACACATTATATTTATCGTGTGCTATGTCTGTGTGCCTGCACCTCGCCAGCTCCTTTTTTTCGCCATCATTTTCAACCTGATATTTCTTTGATTGAATTCTCTCTCTCTTCATTTCAAAACCGACAAATTATTCCAGCAACAACAAAAAGAAGCATAACGACGAAGACGACGTTGTCGATGACGACGACGACCATGATGAAGATGGATTCACTGCGTGCATGTTGCGTTCCGTTTTATTCTTCGCAAAAATAAGTACACCTCGCTTGCTCTCGCACCACACTTTTTTTCATTCACCGGTTGGTTTGATTAAATGCTTCAGTGTTAATTAAAATACAACAATTTTAATTTGTTTCTCAGTCTCAGTCGGTTTTTCGCCTTCCTGCCCGCCGACAATCCAACCAGAGGAAAATAAAAATAAAACAACACGAAGAAATAACATCACATTAAGATTCATTTATCTCTCTGATCTTATATCATTTTGATTGTTTCCACTCTTTTTTTGTTGTTATGGAACGGAATTCATTGTTTTTATCACACAAATACGCTGCCCTATTCGGCTTCATGAAAATTGAGTTTTTGTTGTATTTTTCAAAAGTGGAATAAACGAGTTAAATGACCACTTCATTTCACGTTCTGAAGAATTTCA